ACCCAACCCCAAATGCTGCCCTCTTAAGTGACCCTCAGCACAAAATGACAGGCATTATCGTTTTCCTGCAGGTACCAATTTTAAAACATTTGTGGATTTTTTTTTAACCCACCATCTTCACACAAAGGGTTGTGACTATCTGAAAGACATAAGCTTGCTCTTGCTTTAAACATGGAAGTTAGTTTTCTGATAGACATTTTGACTTTTTGAAGTTGTCAGAGGAGTCTCTATACCCAAGGACTAAGAATAAATTGCTCATTGAACATTTTTTTCTATGTAAATCAACAAGCATCATGTAATTTGTAGACAACTGAAAATTCTGTCTTTGGTCTAACTTTTTCAGGCATGTAGAACTATCAGCATTATCCTTATCATTGAAAAGATATGTAGTATCTTCTGAGCATGGTGATGTGCCTGGACAAACCAAACAGGCAGAACCCACGTACCACTGGCATTGCCAGAGTGGATTCTCAAATAATCGCAATTTCAGCACCAGCTCAGTCATTAGCTTCTTCAAATTTTAGTTATTTTTATCTATAAGTGAGGATCAAACCAACTTTGTGTAACTCAAATGATTGTAATGACCAAGATTTAAAACATAGAGCATCTTGTGTACACTATAAAGTTCTATGCAGCATGATTGTGGTATCACTGCTGACCAGAGACTATTAATGGGCACAGTTGTACAGCTTGTGGGTACAGTTTCATTAGGACTGATCTTTAGCACTGCATATATCACATTGTGTACAAACACATGTAAATGCATGATTGACAAAAATGGAACCAAAAGTTCTATATGTAAATGTGAAAATTCCAGTCAGTCAGAGCAGCCAGAATGGAGGAATGTGTAACTTAGTTGCTGAGAGTGCAACCTAGGGTATCCCTCTGGAGGGAAAGTGTGAGCCATGGAGGAGGAAAGAGAGAAAGCATGGACAGGTAGAGAAGGGTTAAGAGGGAAGTTCTTTGAATTAAGAGATGAGGATTCTGGCCCTGATAAGAGGCCAATTTGTACATGTTGCTGAAAGAAACATTTGGAGGAGAAGAGAGCCCATAGTGTTTATTGAGTTTACCATCCCTAGAGACCATTTCCTCTCACATTTCAATCTAACCTGCCAAGATCGCTGGTCCCAGGTGGACCTTTGAACTGACTTCCAAGTTCTACTGAGTAGCCACAGTGCCCAGCATGCAGGTATCAAGCCTGAAGGCTTCTCTCTGGGTCTCCACTAGCAGTTTTACTGGAACAAAAGTTTATTGCTACAGAAAATCAGAGGCTGTGAATTTTCTTTTATTTGTTTTCTTGTTGTGGTGGTGGTGGTGGTGGTGGTGGTTGGTTGGTTTTATCTGAGCCCTTGAGCCCTAAAGCTCTGATACACAATAATGACACCCACTGAGCCCCAGGGAGACCCTGCTTTCCAAGTTTATGCCAGGGAAGTCAGTCTGTAGCTGGAGAAGCACTATCTGAAAGCAGTACTTAGTTAAATCGATCAATTACAATGAGTGGAGGCTTATTTAGTAAATATTAAAAGACTGACTCAATGAACAAGTTCATGATATAAATCTGGAACTGGCAAAATTATAAAAACACAATTCTCCAATGAAGAAGTAATAAATAGGGCTCATTACTAGGAGAATGAAATGTTACCTTTCTCAGAGGTTGTAGATTTTTCAGTGGCATTTTTTAGCATCTATGGCCCTTTTAAACCCTGTTTTTTCCCCCTTCTAATTTGTGGCATTTAGAAATGATTTTCACTTAACTTTCCTATGGCTCATTTCTCTCCTTCAGAACATTTTCATGTGATTCCCTGGTCAGTCCATGCTGTAACACATTTCCATCATAAAGCTATAAGGAGCATCAACTAAACAGCAATATGAAGGCCAGAATAGAAGACTTACAGGAGAAGAAAGTGGGCATCTGGATAGTTAATTTTTATTCTTGAATGCCCTGTTGACTTTTTGCCTTTTGTGGGTATTTTTGGTCCTGTAGATTAAGTTTCTTGCCTGGTAGACAAGGCTTTAAGGAGACAATTCTCACAATTCTGAAAGGATAGCCTTTCCTTCTCCAACAAAATTATCAAGCAGCACCTTTCAATGACATAGGGATTGCTATTCTTCACCTAAATCCCATAATGGAAAGAAAAGATTTTCATTTTTGTTCACTCCTGCTGTCCTTGATGTTTTGTAAAATACACCTTACTCATTCCATTGAGTTGGCCTGTTTTCTCTAGAGAGATAAATGTTGGCCATTTAGCAACCTGGGTCCCTTTAAAAAAATAGTTTCAGTTCAACAAATACTTATTGATAGCCTCCCCCCACCTTGTGTCTTGTAAAATGTAGACATCACGAAAACATCACAAGATTTTTTCCCTAAAACTCACAAGACTTTTTTTCCAGTAGACAAATAAACAAACACTGATAGTCCAAGCCCAACTTTGGTTAGGACCAGAAGCATTTGTAGGTGTGACGACTACAAACTGTGTTTTTCTGAGCTTATTCTGTCAGTATAATTTAAGGTGCAAAGTAGACATGTGGTTACTAGGTCTATGGAGAGCTAAGTAGTGAGAGGATAAGAGATAGAGAGAAGGAATCAAGGTGATGACTTTTTCAGATGTGTTTGCTCCCCCAGCCACCCACAGTGTGGTCCTTACCACCGCCACTTTTCCTGCCTGGTGCATGTGCACCCTGAGGTTATAATTTGGCTACAAGTCTGCTTAGAACTGGGATTGTCACTGAGTGCCAAAGAAATGCCATCTGGGGTCAGGGGAAAAGCGTTGTGGAAGTTGCAGAATTTATTTAGGCTTTGAAGGAAGGGTAAGGATTTCTCATGCTAGAATAGACAGCATTTTAAAATGGCAGACACATATGGGATAAATCCAATTCTATGTGACTGGAGAATCTTCTTTAGGAGGAACTATTTCTTACACTATCAGTAGTTCAATATCTTCCTAAACAGACCTGCTCCCCATCTTCCAATAGCTTGTTAGCTACTCTGCTACAGGTGCAGACCACTGGAGCATGAAGAACAGATGCAAATAAACCAATATATGACCAGGTGGTTGCATGTTTATACCAAAGTTACACACAACTAAGCAGTTTATTTCCCATCTGACCCTGGGGCTTTATATGGGAGGGAGAGTGGAAATGTCATCTCTGCTTAGTATCAATAGCTTACAAAAAAATAGGTCCATTTCAGAGACAATATCGCATCCATTTGCTCTTAAATTCATGCCTAAAATGTGGGAAAAATCACTTTTTAAATTAATTTTCCCCCTCTCTTGTTTGTGTAAAGTACTTTGGCAGAGATACTCTCTTGTATCTCATAGAAAAGCCGAAAAACTTTGTTTGAATTGATATATACTGGAGAGTTTATAAAATGATCCCACAAATTCAGTGAAAGCATTATTTTCATGGTGCAGTCAGATCAGCCAAACCCTTTGCTATCATTATCTCCATTTCCTTGTCATGTGTGTTCAGTTGAGGTCATGTCTTTTCATTTTTATCGATTTGTCTATCACCTGTACTGTCTTATGAGTTTTGGGGGATAGACTTTTCTCAGATACAAGTTATCACCCCCTTATTCTAATACAGAAACTCCTTCTGATCCTTCATTCCATTCTTGTCAGCATTCACAGCATGGAACACGATTCTTTTATTACTTAATTCCTTCCTTTCCTCTACCCATTTCCACTTCTATTGTCCCATCTCCTTTCCTTTTGCCCTCATATGTTTGTTACTTTGTGGTTTCTCTTCTTGTGAGTTCTACCTGAGAGAGCCAAACAGAACCCCATGGTTAAAAATAGTTGCTGACGTTATTTGTGATTCCTAAGTAGTCTCACAAATCACCTTTTCTCCTTTGATTTCCACCTAACGTGCTGACAGTGCTCCAATCTTGTTTTCTGATTATCCCATTACATAGTGCTTTCCCTTGCATTTAGTAGAAACTTACAAGCAATGGTTCTGTTTGACAGCACTGCCTAGTCATCATTCACAATTTTATGGAATTAGAAAGGCAAGAGGAAGAAAGGACTGGAACTTAAATTCTTATGTACTAGGAAAAGCACTAATTAACTCTATTGGTAATAGGGTGAACCACGCTTTGTCAGCATGCTTATACTAGAGACATCCTTGTGATCACACAATGGAACAGTTTTCTTTTTCTTACCTAAGGGAAGTGCTGTGCCTCAGATTCAGGAGCAATGCATTTTAAATGAGGTCTCAAAGAGGAGGACAAACTCAATTGGCTGCCCATTTGTATACCATTTCAGGAAAAAATCACCACAAACAAATGCATAGAAAGTAACCTAAGAATTCATTTACTGTACTCATTGTTTTTACCATAAAATTGTAAATATTCATAGTCAATAATCATAAAGAGCCACTAACAGTTTAACAGTATTCATCTTGTGGTGTGTGTGTGTGTGTGTATTAGCTATGCTCTGAAAACATCCTACAAAGAGCTAAATTTATAAGAAGCCACAACGCCCAGGAAGCTAAATGATCACTTGTTAGCATTGATCTTTTGGGGACATAAAAAGAAATTTCCGGTGCAAATAATACCACTTTTCTTATGCATTATAAGAACCCCTTATATTCAAGAATAATTTTCCTTATATAGATTCGTTTTGATTGATATGTTAAGTACATCTGCGAATACAATAAACCACATAATTGAGAGCCAGACTATCTAATAGATGCTATGTGAACCTTCGAAGAAATGAAATGATAATGGAATTCCTATTCTTGGTGCTAGGAAATGACTGTCCTTTGTTCTCTTCTGTGAAAGCATCCTATTTTAGTTGATTTCCTCAGTACGCTTCTTTAGGCAAGTCAGTAAATTCAGAGAAGCCAAATATATCTTACTTTTGGGGAATGTAATTTGGCTATTTGGGCCAGAGTGCAGTTTCTTGGGTTATATTCAGCAGGCATTACTAAAAGATAGGTTATTTTTCCGTAACTTGGATGGTTCCACATAATCTTTTTTTTCCCCTTCCCATTCTTGACAGGTGCATGAGGCAGTCCCATGTTACAGTGAGTGCAATCAGTATTCCTGGGTTGTAGAACACTGGTCTTCATGCAAAATCAACAATGAGCTGAGGTCCCTACGCTGTGGTGGAGGAACACAATCTAGGAAAATCAGGTGTGTAAAAATGGAGAGATTTGGGAAATGAGGGCAGTGTAATTTATATTTTTTAAAATATAAACAACAGTGTTGCTTTTTCATGTATGCTGTGATTTTCACAGCATATACTGTAGCTTTTGCTCATCTTTGAAGTATCCGTGGACACATATGTATGTATCCTGACCTGCCATGTGTATAGTGGGATTCCCTCTGCAATGCAGCCGTAATCCTTATTGTTTCCTGCAAATGACTTTGGTGGGAGAGCCAACTGCATGGAGTAGGCTGGTATTGCTCTACTGATTCATGGCCATCCCTGTTAACAAGTTAGGAGATTTTGACTATGTTGCTATTTCTCTTTTTTGCACTATGGCTAGAAGAGTTGGTGAACGTTATCCTAATTTGGGATGTCAATACATTGAGAAGGTCAATTTAAACCCCTACAATTAGCCTTCAAAAGTAAAGTCTGGGGATCCTGTGAACAGTAGCTATACATTTTAATATGAAAACAACACATCTATGAAAAATTTTGATGACTGCTGGGTTATTTACTGAGGAAGACTCTTCAAGGTTTCTATTTTTTAAATACAGCAGTGGTAACCAAAGGAGACCGTTGGCCTGAGTTTGTCAAGATGATCCATTTAAAAATAAATATGTGAAGAAAGAAGAATAACTTCCTGACCAGCTGAGGAAAATGGCAATAAACATTAGGGACTGAACAAACAAAAGTTAAAATATTGATACACACTGATTGGTATGTAAGAAAACAGTGTGTTCAACCATTCAATTGCATAAGCATAGTGTATCATTTCGCAAGATTTAGGAAGCTCTGTTTCAAATGGGCAAATCATGCCCAAATCGGATAGAAGCCTAATGAGTTAACTGTTAGATGGAAATTCATTGCAAGGCTTATGAGTGTTGATTGTTATTCAGTATTAGTGAAACTTAGTTTATTCAGTATGTACCTACCATTTCTGACAGTCTCAATGTTGCAAAGTCACCAGTAGGCATGTTGGAGGAAACAGCTGCTGGCAAAATTATAAAGGTGCTTTTCATCACCAACCGAAGCATATAACAAATAGACAAATTGTCTTTCCCTTTGTTCATTGCCCTTTTCCCTGTGACTAATGTGCTCAGCTGTCACACACTCTGGGCTTTTACCTCTTTCTCTTTAAAACCTCTGTCTCCTGTATGATATTCTCCCATGGTTTTGTAAAGTGACTGACCAACCTAGTTTATAAAGTGCCATGTAAATGAGCTGTAGCATCTCTCACTCTTATCCCACTCAGACCTGTTAGCAATATTAAAGGAAAACCTCAGAAGAGAAAGAGAAATGTTAAGAAAATAAATTGCTACTGACAGAATTGTGGCAGGTTGATTGAGAAAAACACATTTGAACAGGAGGGCCTTTCAGCCATAGCTTTCTGTTCAAACCTACAGAGCCTGATAGAATAAAACAACACAACTACCAAATACTACTCTGCGATGGGCTGAGTCGTGTCCCCCCACCCCCACCATCCCAAACCCCAGTACTTCAGAATGTGACCATATTTGGAGATAGGGTCTTTAAAGAGGTAATTAAAGTAAAGTGAGTCATTGGTATGGGCCCTAATTCATTATGACTGGTGTTGATGTAAGACGAGGAAATGAGGACACAGGAGCACATAGAGAAAAGAACACGTGAAGACACAGGGAGGAGATAGCCATCTGCAAGCCAAGGAGAGAGGCCTCAGAAGGAAAGAACCCTGCTGACACCTTGATTTTAGATTCTAGCCCTCAGAATTGTATGAATTTCTGTTGTTTAAGCCACCCAGTCTGTGGTATTTTATTGTTATACTCACTATGTAACATACTTTATGTGCAAGATTACTTTTAAGAATGTGAAGTAGATCTTCCAGATGCCTTGCATTCCAAACTATTACTGACTCTTATGAGATCCTGTTATAATGAATGAAACAGCTTATCTGCTGTCTTTCTTAAAACCTTCAAACTGAAGGGTATCTTCATGATTCATCCATGACCGTGATCATTTATTAATTCAAAAAATATTTATAAATATTTGCCTTCAATGGATCAGGTACTGTTCTAGGCACAGGAGATAAAATAATGAACAAAAGAAAAAAGTTTCTGTCCTCAGAGAACTTATATTAGCAGAAAAAAACCCACTGATTAATATATAATAGAATGCCTTTGCTATGAAATGCCAAAAAGAAAAATAAAATTGGGTTCGAGTTACGGGGAAGAAAAATAAAATCAAGATGGAGTCTATTTTGGAGAGGTTGGTCAGCAAAATGATATTTGAGCAGAAACTTGAATAAAGTGAGAGACCCGAATGAGTGTGAAGATCTGTGGAAAGAGAATTCCAAGGGGAGGAAGCATGCAAAGCAGGAACCTTCCTGGCTTCTTGGAAGGATAACAAGATATCCCACGTGGTGACTGCCAGCACTCCTGTCATATAGGGTCTTCCAAAACAAGGTAAAGACTTAGGATATTATTCTAATTGTAGCATGAAGCTGTGGAAGGTTTGAGACTGGGGAAATGACATGCTCTTATTTACATTTGAAAAGGACCTTACTGGATGGAATATAGAGAAAATATTTTGGGAGCATCTGTAGTACAAGCAGGAATGCAGATTTGAGGCCATTGCAGAATTCCAAGTGAGAGAAGTTGACGGTTGGATTGGGTTTAGTAAAAGCGAAGGGGTGAGAAAGTCAAATTTGGAATATATTTTGAAGGAACAGAGCACAGGATTTGCTGATAAAATAATTGTAGAGTGGGGAGAAAAAGATGCATCAAAGAACATTGTTAGATTATATGGATTGTAGGAACGATGGTGCCATTTGTTGAGGTGGGGAATATTAAAAGCAGATTTGAGAGAAAATCAAAAGTTAGCTTTTGAACACATTAAATTTGAGATGATGTTAGCTTTCCAACTGAGATATGACAATCTGGAATCCAGGAAAGGACTGAAGATATAAATGTGGGCATCATTAGCTTATAAACTTGATATACATTGATAAGGAATTGAGCCCCGGAGAACTCCAGCATTCATAGATGAACGCAGAAAGATTCTACAAGGGAAACTGAGAAAGAGCCCATGGAATAGGAGGAAAAACAAGAAAATGGGAAGACAAAGGAGAGTTTTTCAAGAAAGGCAGGGTAATTAGTTGTTTCAAACGCCCCTGATTTTACTGAGATAAGAATTGATCATTGAATTTGGCAGTGGGGAGTCCGTTGGTAATCTTGATAAGATGTTTCTCTGGAATGATAATAAAAGAGCTATTAAAGAGGGTTAATGAGGTAATAATGGGGTTGGGGGAGTGAAGACGGGAAATACAGGCAACACCTTAGAGCAGTTTTGCGATGGTTGAAGGCAGATGGGCAGGGAAATCTATGATGTCAGATATGTAGGGGACAACTACATTTTTATCTGAGAATACCCTCAATTTCAGTCCTTTAAGTCTTTATTCTTGCGCTTGTCAGAATCCCCAGAAAAGTCTCTTCTTAAATCATGTGTGAGTATCCTAACAGCCGGTATTCCAGGAGCCCAGTGAAAGAAGTCAGGTGTGGTAGACAGAATGAGGACCACATCCTAACCCCTGAATCTGTACATATGTTACCTTTGGCAAAAGATAAGGACCTTAAGATGGGAAGATTTTCCTGGATTGTCTGGGTGGGCACAATTTATTGCCAAGTGTCCTTAAGAGTATAAGGGAAAGTGAGAAAGAGACTAAGATGTGAGTAAACTCAAGGCACAGCGAGACGCAGTGCTGCTGGCTTTGGAGGTGGTGGAAGAGGCCACTCAAGGGATAGGCGTGGCCTCTAGATACCCTTTTGTGACCCTCTCCAGATAATTAACCTTCAGTTACTTGCAGGGGTAGGGAAGGGGCAGTCACTTAACTGTGTAGATTAGGGGAGAGCATCTGAGGGCTAGGTACCTAAACATACTTGCGATAAATCCTCCGGATTTTTAGCCTTACTCCTTCCCCATTTCCAGAGGTGCTACAGATTTCAGAATTTTTGTATGTGTTCTGTGGTGCAAACAGTTATTTTCATTGTTGTCCCTTGAATGCTTCGTCTGTAGCTTTCTCAGATGTTCTACGGCAGTTACCAGGAGCTCATCTATTTTCCATTTCTTGCAAATGTCCTGTCCCAAGTTCTTTGTCCTTGTAGAATAATGCCTTTCCCTCCTTATTATTGTTACTATTATTTTGCTAATAAATTTCTTTACTATTGCTTTTGTGGCATATTGGGAATGAACAGAGACTAATACATATGTTCACTGGATATCATTACCCAGAAGTCTTACCTCTTCTTTCTCAGTGAAATAATTAAAAGACACCAGCCAGGAGTGTGCAAGCAGGAAGAAAAGCAATTTCCAGTTTTTTATGTTTGTCCAGGGAAAGACATTTAAGCCATCCTATGGACCCTCTGCCCATTATTGACTATTACCACAGAAGAAATTAAAGTCCATGGATGACTGTAGACCAGGCCTCCCTGTATTAGAAGGCCTTAATTACATCTCCTTTCTGTCTACCATTTTCTGATAGCTTTCTTTATAAAACATCTAGTTTTTCATTACATAGCATATCTTTATTTTTCATGATGCTATAGGCTACTTTGCAATTTTCCTGAAGTTTTCTTTTTCTATTTTTAATGTGTATAAATGAAACTCCTAATGTGTAAGATGATTCATTAGCATAGCGTGATTTGGGGAGCGCCAAAAGCTCCCCAGCACACCATCCTTAAAATGCTCAGTCCTTGACCTTGACGTTGTGTCTGAAATTACCGGATCAGCAAACGGCACCATTTGTCTTATCATCATTGTCATTGTCATCTTCTCCTTTATTGTTATCACTAGAACAAAATATTCATAACAATAGCGATCACGTCTGTCTTTTTCTCAGTTCTGTACCCCAACACCCAGGCAAGGGCCCGGTACATAGCAAGCTCCCCAAAATATTTACCAAATGAATAGTTGTTAACAACTAATAACTTTGTATCCCAATAGCTAGCAAAAGCAATTTGCACATAGGAAGTCTATTAAAATTTATTTTAATAAATTTTTAAATTTTTTTAAAATTTTAATAAATTTATTTTAAAATAATTTTAAAATAAACTTCTAATTGGGATTTAATATAAATACATAGAAATGCCCACATCATAGGAGTACAGCTGGATAAATTTTCACCTGTGTCACTAGCCCAAAAGTCAAGAAACAAAATATTACCAGCCCCTATCAGTCACTAACCATTGCCCCAAGGGAAACAGCTATTCTGACTTCTGACACCATAGGTTAGTACTGCCTGTTTTATAACTTTATGTGAATAGAATCATACAGTGTACACTTTTTTTGTGTCTAGCTTCTTTTGCTCAACATTACATTTGAGAGCGTCCACATGCTCTTTCATGTAACAATGGTTCAGGAATTCTCACCACTTTACAGCATTTAACTTGATGAATTCACTGCAATATATTTATATATTGTACTGTTGTTGAATATTTGAACTCTTTCTAGTTTGGTTGATTATGAATAGTGCAGCTATGAACATTTTCAGTCAGTTTTCATTTTTGTTTTTGTACACATTTATACACATTTCTATAAAAATAAGTGGAATTATTGGGTTAGCTTTAGCAGATACTGACAACCAGTTTTCAAAACAGTTCATGCTCCAACCAGCAGATTGAGAAGAGCTACAGTTGTTCCACATTCTTGCCAACTCTTGGTGTTTTCCACATTTTTTATTTTAGCCATTCTGGCAAGTATCTAGTTGTATATAACAATTTGGGCTTAATTTGATTGAATCTTCATCATGCTTAATGACAGCTTAATCATTTATCTCATTTTCACCAGCACTATCGCAAAGCCTGACAGAGCAGCAGGCACAGGCAACTATAACATGTGCATCTATACTGCATGCTCAATTGCTGCAAAAATAAAATAAAATAAAATAAAATAAACAAAAAAACTTGCACATTGCCCTTGGGTTAATGATAGAAAAATTTCTTACTGAAATGCAGAAAATACCTGAAACAGTAACATATTTGATTATTTTTCATATTACTTTGCCATGACCTTAAATGCATATGGGACAAAGATTAGGAAAGTTTAGGTGGTATGAGACAGAAGTGGAAAAGATTTAAATGAGCCACAGGGAGTATAAAGGCTCTAGCTATTACAAAGCTAGATGCATTATTCAAAGAAGGAGAGCCCTGAAGATTTATTACAATAAAAATAATTCACCCAGGGATGGACCTGAGTAAATGTATCATAGGTCTCTTGAAATTGAGATTTCTTCAAGGATAACCATTTTGTCTAGTCTTTCCATTGTTCTCTCTTGCTCTTCTGAGTAACAGCTTCTATGCTGAGTTATCATTCAATAAAGGCTGACTGGCTGAAGGAGGAAAGTTCCCAGCACCCCCTGACTTCTCTGCTGGCCTTATTCTATATTTAACTATCTTTCAGGGGTCAGTGTTTATGATACATCATGACTGTTTTTGGTAGACTCTCTCACTGTTTTAAGTAATCAAGGTATCTTTTGATCTCACCTTACAGGTGTGTGAATACTGCTGATAGTGAAGGGGGAGCAGTGGATAGTGGCTTGTGCAACCAGGATGAAATTCCCCCAGAAACCCAGTCCTGTTCTCTTCTGTGTCCCAATGAATGTGTCATGTCTGAGTGGGGACATTGGAGCAAATGCCCACAGGTAATTTCTCTTTCTTTGTCAATGCCCTGAATACTCCAGTGCTACCTTCCCTGTTGTTCTCTATACATTCACAGTGCTATTCTCCAAAGCATTCTGCTAGTAACATGGAAAAATCATTTTTCCTGAGAAAGCCAAAGAAATTAAAGGAAGAAAAAAATGTCTGCAAGTGAGACTGAGCAATTTAAAATGCCAGTGCTTCTTCCAAGGCCTTTGTCATGGGAACATGAACAAGGAAAATGAGCCTATAATGATCACACGAGGAGTCGACTGCACACCCATTGTTAAAAGGGTCTTCTTTAGTACCAAAGTGATTCACACTATAATCTCTTGGTTCTGTTCCATTTTTATCCTGGCAGAATCAATTATATCTTAGGAGCTCAACTCCACCGTGCAATTTAGCTTCTGTTAGTGATGATCTGTTTTTGCCTTTTGCTGTTTTCCCAAAGATGAGGTGTGTTGTTACTTCTTCCAAAACTGACCAAAAAAAAAAAAAAAGAAAGAAAAAAAACTTTCTTAAGTAGAAAAGCATTTGCCTTTATTTTTTGCTTTTTTTAAAAAAATGAGAATACAACAGTAGCATGGCAAAATAAATACTCTTAAAAGTAGCAGAGTTCAACTTAATATTCACAGAAGATAAATTCTGATATTTTAAACTTCTATTTCTGCATAAAGATTGAAAAAAGAAAATGGGAATCAGGAACATATTTTATGGGCCCAAACATTAGGAAGAAAAGAATTAGTATGTTTTGAATTCAACTGTCATATTGACAACTTGTGGAAAGATGTGAAAATCTTTGTATAAAAATGGAGAATATCTTTGAAATACATTAATATCCTATGTTTGCAGTTTTAAATTATTGATTTCTTATTAAGTATTGCAACATTATCTTTGATATTTCTGTAATTCTGTTCCTGAAAGAGATTTCCCTGTTATAATTATAAAAAGCATTATACAAATTATTATATCATATTATATTATATAAATAAAATTATATGATTATTATAAAATACTATTATATAAATATTTTTTATTCATTGAGTTGTTCTATGGGCAATACAATAATTGGATGAAGAAGCACCAATAAAAAATAATTTGTAGGAGTGGGATGCTTGTAATACAAAATGAGTAGCCACTTATTTTGTGTGTAACTTGAATATAATAAAAGTTAACATTTATTGACCACTTCTTTTGCACAAGACACATGTACGAACTTTTCTTTTTAGTCCTGTCACTAATCCTACTAGGTAGGTACTATTATTAGTCCGTTGTTCAGCTGAAGAAACTGATATTGAGGAAGGCTAAGTAATTTGTACAAAGTTCCACATTTAATAACTGATGTGCTGGTTATGAACCTTATTTTGTCAGATGAAGACAGAACTTTTGCTCTCTCATTCTTGCCTCACTAATCTTAGAAACATTAAGGTACATTTAGATTAATACTTTTCCTTCTTTAAAATGCAATATTTGTTTTAAGAACAAAGCAAGTTATTTTAGCTGTCTGTATGATTATTCCATGACTGGGTACATATATTCACCCTTTAGAAAGTGTCCCAGCACACATGTCGGGTCCGCCGCCGGCTGACCCAAACAGCCCTAGCCTTGTTCCTTTTGGTGGGTGAGCAAATGGCCTAGATTCCTCTTTCCCTCCTGTCCCCTTTGGAAGGAGACGGGGGAAGAGAGCCGTGAAGAGAGGTGAGCACACCACCAGCCCCAAACCAGCCCAGTTAAAGGACACTCAGACGCGGCAGGGGTTCTGTCGAGGCAGTTCCGTTTATTATAACACAAGCACTTGCTTTTATAGGCAGATAGGGAGGGGAGGTTTTAACATAATCCAATCAGCTTCAAGGGCATGCATCCTGTCTCAATGCCTAGCTATTGTGTTCACGAGCGCAGAAGCACGTATTTGGCCAATAAGGGCTTAGGCAAGGTTCCCGCAGACACCCCCACCCTACTTCCTCCCGGCACCATCTTAGGCTGCCACATTAATACGCCCTTGTGGGCCCATAATGGCGCCGCTTGTAATGTCACTTAAGGTGGCGTTAGTTTTTAAGGCCCGACACACACACTCTTCATTAGTCAGCCTATAGAAGAATTAACAACCTGAAGTAGTTTAATTAGATGTAGTGGTCATGAACTTTTTCACTTCCTTTTTCTTATTTACTCACAGAATACTCCATTAAGCCCTAACCCCTTTGCAATGAAAATGTTGCCCTCTCGGGCCGGCCCGGTGGCGCACTGCTGCACTGCGCCGCTTGGGAGCATGGCGGCGCTCCCGCCTAGGGTTCGGATCCCACATGCGGACCGGCCACTCACTGGCTGAGCGAGGTGCGGGAGCAACGCCGAGGGTTGCGATCCCGTTGCCGGTCCCGGTCCGGTACAAGCACGACACTGAGGGTTGCGATCTGTTGCCGGTCACGAAAAAAGACAAAAAAGGAAAAAAAAAAAAAAGAAAATGTTGCCCTCTTAAGTCAAAGTATCTGGCCACTGGGCTGAAATTTTCATTGTAGGAGCATTTTGCACAAGGGTGAAATGGCTAGGAATTCGGCATTTGCTTCTTTGGGGTTTCTATTTTCTTTAAGGTTTCTTTTTCCAAACATGATCATTCTATTTTTGGAGTGTTTAGAAATAAGAGGTAGAAAAAACATTTTAACCTCCTTTCATATGTTCAGAAGATGACACAGACACTCCCTTGTCAGCATAAAATGAGAGGGTGGTTCTTTGAGCTGCTAGGTACCTTCTAAGTTACATAATGCTTATAGCTATGACAATAACAGTATAACTTTTATTGAGCATATTTTATGTAACCAACACTGTGCTGAAAATTATGTGTAACTGTAAGTTTCATAACAACACTATGCTTTGACATTAGAACACCTGTGCATGGTCACCCAGTTCTGTCTGACCACAGTGACCTTGTTTTCCTTACATACCATGCTGCTCTACAGTGTAAATGGAGACTTCAAAACAGAAAAAAAAAATGGTTATCAAGACTCATACCTGATTATTTTCATTATATCTAGATACGTTGTATAATTTTTATAAGTTACAAGATCTTAGCATAATGCCCCAACATCACAGGACCTAAATTAGTACTTTACAATGATGATGATGATGATTATAGCAAGCTGAATCATTATGCCTCAAGTTTAATTAGCACTTCTATGTGCATTTCCTGAGAAAAAAGAAATAATTATTTTATAATTATTCTCTATACCATGTGCTGATTTAAAGAGTCTAAATATTAGTGATTATTTTATCAACTTCTCCTTTGACAGTCTGCCTTGTCATGTATGTTAATGGAACCAATTCACTATGTTTTGGGGTTTTTTTTCCCCTAAGAGCACACAGATAAACTTAATTTGCTTTTAAGTATGACGATGACAAATTACTTTCACTTCTGACTTGCATCTTCTTTATCAGGAAGTGAGGATAATGACATTTGCTTTTTCAGATCGTTTAAGGATTAGGGATAATATGTATAAAGTGAATACCATAGAGTATTACTAACTACAGGATTGTTGAAGAAAGAGAAGAAGGAGATGATTCAAGTCCCTGAAAAAACATTTTAACCTCCTTTCATATGTTCAGAAGATGACACAGACACTCCCTTGTCAGCATAAAATGAGAGGGTGGTTCTTTGAGCTGCTAGGTACCTTCTAAGTTACATAATGCTTATAGCTATGACAATAACAGTATAACTTTTATTGAGCATATTTTATGTAACCAACACTGTGCTGAAAATTATGTGTAACTGTAAGTTTCATAACAACACTATGCTTTGACATTAGAACACCTGTGCATGGTCACCCAGTTCTGTCTGACCACAGTGACCTTGTTTTCCTTACATACCATGCTGCTCTACAGTGTAAATGGAGACTTCAAAACAGAAAAAAAAAAAATGGTTATCAAGACTCATACCTGATTATTTTCATTATATCTAGATACGTTGTATAATTTTTATAAGTTACAAGATCTTAGCATAATGCCCCAACATCACAGGACCTAAATTAGTACTTTACAATGATGATGATGATGATTATAGCAAGCTGAATCATTATGCCTCAAGTTTAATTAGCACTTCTATGTGCATTTCCTGAGAAAAAAGAAATAATTATTTTATAATTATTCTCTATACCATGTGCTGATTTAAAGAGTCTAAATATTAGTGATTATTTTATCAACTTCTCCTTTGACAGTCTGCCTTGTCATGTATGTTAATGGAACCAATTCACTATGTTTTGGGGTTTTTTTTCCCCTAAGAGCACACAGATAAACTTAATATGCTTTTAAGTATGACGATGACAAATTACTTTCACTTCTGACTTGCATCTTCTTTATCAGGAAGTGAGGATAATGACATTTGCTTTTTCAGATCATTTAAGGATTAGGGATAATATGTATAAAGTGAATACCACAGAGTATTACTAACTACAGGATTGTTGAAGAAAGAGAAGAAGGAGATGATTCAAGTCCCCCCTTAGACTGTTTACAATGTGGTTGGGAAACGGGAGATAGGTATTTTCTAAGCTATACAGGAAATATCCCTTCTCCCACACAATATAAGTTATTACTTGATCTTACAGAAATAAAATGTCACCTCCTTTACTGCAATATGACTTATGTCTAATTTAATAGTAGTCACCTAGAAATAAGGCATCAGAAAGATAACTTTAAATGAATGGGTTACGGACCTGGCAGTAACTGCCAATTGCAAACCGTACGAAGAGCAAACAAGACAGAGGCGTTAAAAACTGTATTGGGGCCACTTAAGAACTGCATTGGGAACAAATGGAGACTATAAATGAATGAAACCAAAACAAACCCAATTCAAGGGGGAATTTGAAGAAAGTGGAAAACCATGTGTTTCATTTATTTCATGTTCTGGTTTTTCTTTTCCCATAACACACAAATCTACATATATACAATTTATTTTTTAACTCCAACATGCTCACTTTTCTAGAATACTTTAATGTGAAAAGAAGTTTATGGAATTTACATA